TCAAATGTCAATCGTCTTTGCATTGATACATATGGGCATATTATCGGAATGTTTAACTTTCTTTTCCATTAAACATATCATGTGATATAAAAAAACAACACGCTTAATGATGATTTAGCATTTCAGTTTGTTCAAATACATTTTAAAATGCCACTTTTTATTATTGACTGGTATAAAATGAATTAATTTTGTTATTGATGCCACGCAGTTCGTAAATATACCTACCACACGACTGCATTATTGGAAAAATGTTTTAAAATATGCTTTTCTTAAATTACCGTACAAAATGTTTGCCTTGCCGACGATAAATTTTATTTTTCTACCTAAAGAAGATCTTCATTGCAGATAACTACAAGCTTGGGGCGTCTTTCATCATTGTTAATTCCAATGACTAAGAAAGCAAAATTATCATTTCTGGATATATAATTAAAATAGATTGACAAAAAGTAACATTTGTCATTAGCACCTCGTATAATCACTCAGTTGTTATACAATAGGATATGTGGCATGCTGGACATCCTCACTGATAATATATATGTGTAATGTAGGCATAAGACATTTAGGCAGTAAGTAGGCATTACTATGGGCACCAACTGATCTGTTTCTTTATGCACAGGAATCAGAATTTCGGTTCGGATCAGCATTGGTTAAATCAAAACAAGAGAATATCGACAAGAACTTAAGCTTCTGGTATGTCGAAGATATGATATCGTTTGATAAAGGTCAAATTGTCAATTCCCTTCTATTGTTTACCCGCGCGGAGTAGTAATAAAGGGGAAACCGCCTCATTTGGTTCAGTTTTAGATTCAAGTGACAAAATACTGTCCACGTAACGACAAGAGGTTTGACTCCAACTCTCTAATGATCACGTTGTAAAACTACAGCACGTGAGCAGCTCCAGTCTTTGGTGTCTACATTTCACAAGGCTGGAGGTACTATAGAGTTTTGTGTTCTCTACGAAGATTTCTAAGAGCGTTATGTGATCAAGATTACAACATCAGGCAACAGTAAGCTTTCAAACAGTTTTATGGTATACAGGTGGAAGATATTTTCAAATTTGACGCTTCAGTGTTTGTTTGTTTGTTTGTTGTTTAACGCCGCACTCAGCAATATTCCAGGTATATGTCGGCGGTCTGTAAATAATCGAGTCTGGACCAGACAATCCAGGGATTGACAACATGAGCATCGAGCCACGCATTTGGGATACGATGACATGCATCAACCAAGTCAGCGAGCATGAGCACCCGATCCTATTAGTCGCCTCTTACGACAAGCATGGGTTATTGAAGACCTATTCTACCCCGGATCTTCACGGGTCGACGCTTCAGTGACCAAAATGATGTCAGTTCAATTGCCTATTTTGATTATTGTTCCCAGATTTTTCAGGTGAACAATTGGCTTGACTTTGCATGTGTTTGCGACGGGTGAAACACACACCTTTTCGCGAACACCTGTATCATCACTATTTGAAAGTGATTCATAAACACATGCTTATGATATAGTCGGAATCGTACAGTGCAATCTTCTTTAAGCAGAGATTTCTTATGATTATGGAAAGGTTTCTGTCGCTTTTATTCACAAAAACATAAGGATTTGTATAATATTAACCCTACCACGTCTGAAGCTACCAAGGTTAACAAATGGCTACATGTCTACTTTTAGAAAAATGCGTGTTTCTTATTTTAACCCATCCAAATTTAGGGTAGATGGGCCGGCTGTTTTTGTTTGTTTGTTTGTTTTTTTATAGTTTTTTTTAATTTGTTTTTTTGGGGGGGGTTGTGGTGGTGTTTGCTTTGTTTTGGTGTGTGTTTGTTTTTGTTTTTTTGTTGATGTTATAATTATTTTGGGGGGTGGGTGGTGTTACTTTGTATTCTTCGCTAAATGTTTGTAAATTTGTGCTTTCATATGTCGATCATGACTGACATGTCATGCGCAGTGAAGCGCACCAGAGGTGTGAAATCCGGACAATACCGAGATGGTTTTGAAAGCTCTTTTTTGTGAAACTCGAGACAAACGAAACAAAGTTAGGGGTCGATGGCACCCGATTTGGCCTGGTCGGTAAACACGCATATCGTCTTCTTGCCAAAATGTACATTAAAACTGCCTCTGGAGTCAACCTGTGCGAATTGTCCATTCAATATCTGACACGCTACATATGCCAAACTTGAAGTCAACAGAGCCCAAGTTTGGAGATAAATTTGTTATCTCGAATTCGAGGTAAGCGCTCTAATATATATGTACGTATATAGTGACGTGATTTGTGTGTGTTAGTGTGTGTTAGTGTGTGTGTGTGTGTGTGTGTGCGTGCGTGCGTGCGTGCGTGCGTGCGTGCGTGCGTGTTTTGTTTTTTTCAAGTAAAGATGTACAGATAGGCATGTTCATTGATATTCTCCTGAGAAGATAGCATCAATATTGTTTCAGCAGGTGCTATTGTAAATGTCACGATATTTGTTTGTGTAATTACTAATTTTTCATAGTAATTTGTACAACATTTCACCCCCTTTGATATATGTTGTTCGAGTTAGTTTTGAGTTTTCATATATTGAGAAATGTGTCTAAATCTGTGTTCATAACAAATCCAGAATCGTCTTTATGCAAGGTGGAGTTAGTTCGACGTGTACATATTCCCCACAGGCAGCGATAAGTTTAACTACGAAAGATTCGTTTATTTCTTCAGTCCAGCAAACGTCATGTTTGTTATTTACGATATATAAACCTCTTTCACGTCATAAATAAATAAAACATTGATAGATCACGCCCCATGTTATATATCTTACTCATATCGGTCATTCCTTCTGTTGCTATATCTATTCAATATAATATTAGTAATGCTGGCAATAGATATACATTTGTAAAGAATACGGTTCACTTTCGTATATGCGTATACATGGAAAGCACACTTGGATATACGTGGACATCCCAGATCACGCCAAAGCGGTATATATCAAGCCGGAAACTAACAGAAGAAGGTTATTTCATTACGGTGTCACACAATGTACATACGTATAGGATAGTACCAAACATTCATCAATGCACATTGTCCGGCCCAAAATGACCTACGAAATACCAGAATACAAATATATTTATGATAAAAGCACGTTAGTGATAAAATATGTAATACAATCATCTGAAATTTGAAAAAAATATTATATTGCGCAGTGAATTATCAGTGATTAAACATTTAAGTAGCAGCAGCGTAGAGGGGAGAATTAAGCAGATCATTCTGCATCATTGGTATGGTCTGTCTATTGGTGACATATTAGAGAATAACGGGTCAAGTTGAGAGGCATGTGCCCATAATGAACATCTTATGTCAGAATAGAATGGACATTTAGTTCAAAAGTGGACTTCATTTTCCACTTGTTGGTGGTCACACTATTTGCAAATACGATGAAGTAAGTGAGTTTTTGGATGTGAAGAGCGACCACGTTCTATTTCTAGAGGGAGCGTGCCGCATTTCAGCTTTGAAAGAATACTACCATGATACATATTATTAACATATAGGAACCCCACTTGGATTAAACCATTGTATATAACACGTTCGGTTATTGCGGTTTCGAATATTGCAAGCCGATCAATTAGACATATGTGTTGTTACATGGCCATAAGCGATAATAATTAAGTTCTTCCTAAGTATTACTTAATGGGGTTTGACAAACCTATACACATTATACCTATGTAACTGTTAATAAAATAAAATCCAATGTTAGGCCGTTGCACATCTTCCTGCTCTGTGTGTGAGCGTGCGTGCGTGTGTGTGTTACTGTTTGTGTGTGTGTTAGTGTTAGTGTTAGTGTGTGTGTGTGTGTGTGTGTGTGTGTGTGTGTGTGTGTGTGTGTGTTGTATAGATCAGTATCAATACATTTAGAGGACATACATTCTAACATGGCAAGAAGTAAAAGACTTACGCACTTTCAGTCATTCTTCTTTCTCCGCCTGATTTCAAAATAATAGTATGTTGGGACTCCAGGTTGTCAGACCAGTTTCAATACTCAATAGTGAACGTCATAAGAGTCACACAGCGTCCGATCGTGCGATCGCTTTCCTAAAGACCTCTTAGAGTCATTCCACAGTAAGTTACACAAATTAGTTTTTAAATAAAAAACTATTTGAAATTATTTATACAGCATCTAATTTTAAGTAACGTGTTACAATGTAATTTGTTTGTGAGATATATACACCTACGTGTTTTGTTGTGCGTCAACCAGAAAAAGAGCATATTAGGTACATGTGGGCGTATTAACATAATTTATAATTGAATTCTCCATTTGTGAGATTACAATTCAGTTCTTTCAAACACCGTCATGTAGATGTAATTTATAGACTTAACAGAATTGACCACTAGCTTGAACTAAAAACATGGAGACATACGAACATACAAGTATATCCACATAAGAAATTACCAATAAAATAAAAGATGCATTACCTTCGTTTCTGATATTCCAAATAGGAGTGTAGATTAAGAAAACTAACAATATCTTTAATTAATATCATGAGTGATTATGGCTCCGCTTTTCTGTTGAGTCACAACCATGGGGGTATATTTGAGGATAAAACAAAACAGGAATTAAATAATATTTAAGTTTGCGACTGTACTTCATTAAATATTGGTTTCGTGTATGGGGTTTGGAGAACTAATATGCCGAGGACGATGCCGATATTTTTAATAAAATATTCCTATATGTCACATATGTTTATTGCATATTATGTGAACACCCGAACTTTAATATCCTCACATGTTTACATACGTACGCATCGTTGAAGTGGACACGTACAAATCATGGTACCAGATTTATAAATAATTCTCAAACATTATGACAGAGAAACAACGTTCTTCATACTGACACATATGTATGTAAGAAATAGATATATTTTGTTTACTAACACAGGTATTAAAAATATACAAAATCAGTCGGACAAGCAGGAATGTTAACATAGGCTCAAACAAGACATGCAGACACTTGAATACCCTGTACACGATACACAATCAATGTACTCACCGTTTCAGTAGGTTGTCTTGATCTAAGTAAAGTTGGATTGTTGTAGTCTTGGGTAACCCGAATCTTCTGTGGCAGTTGAAAAAATAATCTTCAAACTATCTCAAAGACCGTTGTTCAAATAGAGTGCCGGTACTATCGTTAAATTTATATTAAATAATTGAATGGAAGTGGTTCTGACTTGATCTGCCCATGACAAAATTTTGATACGCGAAAGACAGAATATCAACGTGAAAATAGTTGGCGTTGTAGAGACGTGACCGATCAGAACTCCCAGTCATATGTATATAAATATCACAGCCGCCGGATCGGTTGAGAATCAGCGTAAACACGAGCACCGAAAGGAGACTACGCTCATATCCGATCAATAAAACTAAACCTTTTTCGATCAAAACTGCACATGTTAGCGTAATGGTTTTGATAAAGATGTATATAGTTGATACACAGACACTATTCGGCCCCTGGTTCTATTATGTCGAAAACGTTTGGTCGGATTTAAGATCACTTCTCCCTTAGAAACCGGTTCGTCCTCGCATGACCTCAGAATCATTAACTATGTCGGCTAAGTGCACAAGGGTGCTCGACGAGTAAATCGGCATATTTGGATTAATTACTCATTTTGAGGGGGTGAAATGCAGCTTGCGTGGTTGAAATGAATAAAGCAGTGGGTGAATAGGAGCAGAGATCGTGTAAGAGGGATATATCACCGTGAACAGGAATATATCTGTTTTTAGGTCAAACTAACCTTAGAGGCTGAACTAGATTTCTGACCTCCAAGGGCACAGGGAAGTAGGCAAATGCCCCATTTCATATACCTCGGTCACAAGCTTTTACACTGATAAATGCTACATTTGTGTACTGCCAACAGTTAGAAATGAGTAAATGTTCATACAGTCTGTGTTGTGGGAGCTTGTGCCAGTCAGTAACTATGGCATTATAGCTGACAAATACCGCGACTTTAGCGCACTTAGTATGAACTGAATGTCAGTCACGTGGTCGGCTGTTCGTGACGTCACGAGAGTTTTATTTGCATCAGCTTTCCAGGTATACTGTGCATTCCAGGTAAAACTACACACAGTGATTGGTTCATTTGTGAAAGGAATTTGATTCAGACTCAAGTCCTTCTAAATCTTATGAGCCGGTTCCGGTTGGTATTAAACGCTGCAAGGGTGGATGACAGCGCGACAGTGCGAGTTCCATTTGCGGGCAGGTATGTGTGCCGAGCGGTGAACACCTCAGTAATGTTTGTACCCAACTGTCACTGTGATATTCCCCAGCAATTAAAGAATAATAACTAATAAGATCTCAAAACTAATGAATAAAATTTATGTAGCTTTAAACAACTTATCCGCGACAACGTGATCAAAATAAGAAAAACAAAAACCAAAGCTTAGTTAATTATTCCAATCTATCGTGAACTCTACCCGCAATCTTTCGTGAACTCTACCCGAACTCAGTAATAACTATAAATCGTTTTGTAAAATTATTTTATTTAATTGTCAAACTTAAATTTGCCAACGTTTCAAGCATCACAAAAAAAACAAAAAGTGTATTAAACAGTTTCCATACAACAGATTACATATGTGCGTTGTGGTATTATATTTATTGTTAACGAACTACCCCCACTTCCTCTCTACAGATGAGGGGCAAAAGAAAGTATACCAAGTTTATGTTTTATGTCCTTGAAAATTGAAAGAACTGTTGTTAAATGTCATTATGTCTGTGTAACTATCACTATAATTTCTGCAACAGTCTGTAGAAAAGTATTTTTATGTAAAAATAAATTCCTTACATGCAGACTAGGGAAATAAATGAATTCAACCACCATGACCCCTACCGTGTTTGAAATATTGTAAATTTGTGCCGAAAACAGCAAATTTATTTATTTTCAATTATTAGATGTATAAGATACCCATCAGCAATTATGTATTATTAGATCTTTTTATGAGTTTTAAATCAAGTTATATTTTTAAAAATACAGCCATGTAGAAGTATTCCTTGAGCGCTGACTAAGCGCGAGGGGAGTTCATTGTTTGGATATATGATATCGCTAACTTAAGATATTTTAAACTGAAACTCAAACATAATAAAATCAACTGAGAGGTATTGGGTTTTTTCTTTAAGGTTATAGTGTTCGACATGTTTGACCTAAATAAATTTATTAATTTAAAGTTTATATAGAGATCAACAATAAAGTGCATTTCGAATTCTTGAAACAATTAAATTTCTCGTAATATGCATTTTGTATATATTTCTTTGTCTGAACAATACTTTATTGGGTGACAATTATACTGCTATATTGGATGACTATTATGCTGTTATATTGGATTTTTTCTGAGCATCTGTGAATTGAGAATAAAATGATCATTAATCTGAATATAACCCCTCGGAATGGAGGCGCCGGACATGTTAAATGTTTGTACAACACTTTTTGTCAGGACATTAAGCGTGCCCAACAAACAATATGGGGATGGGGGTGAGGTATGAGGTGGGGGTGAGGTATGAGGTGGGGGTGAGGTATGAGGTGGAGGTGAGGGCGAAATCTAAAGGTAAAGTTGTTTCCATTTTCCCCACCCACTTCACCCCTCGGAATATCAGCTGACTGATAATAATAACTTAGGATTTTTTACAGGACCTTATGACATCTTTTTTTCATAATTTTTATTTTGTTATAGAATCACATATTTGATTTCAGAAAGATACTATTGTTAATAGTGGTTTGACACAAATGACTGTTATGACTGCCTATCAACTGCATATGTTAATGTCCTACCGCGAAAATGACAATGTTTTGTTTTCTTCGTAGAACTAGGCGAAATTAAACAAGTTGTTGGGCTATTCGATATGTGGTTTGAACATTTACTTTCTGAAGAATCTGGATTGGTTCTTTCAAACATCTTTAGCGATTAAACAATTAACGTGGTTACAGAATGTAAATTGTCAAAATAACATATGTAGAAACATAAACAGACATTTAAAAAAATCTAATTTGGTAAGTCTGTAATTAAAGTAACTGTAATTAAATTATTTTTTAAAGACTTAAAGTTATACATTTCAGTGGTCCATTTGATTAGTTTTTACACTACTTTACCCTTTACGCCAAATGGAATCTGTTTCGGTGGATAATCAAGCGGCTACAATGTACAATGTACGAGGCAGTTCTAGAGTCAGCAGCTTCTTGATTATAAATGTTATTAGCTACTTGAAGTCTATTTGTTTTTATGATAAAGTCATAGACTGATTTAGCATTTGTTTACTTAAGGCAGCATTACCGTTTAAAATAGTATGAAAGCTATATCCATAACTGAAATAGTAAATGTTATTTCTAATATATTTAGCACGCGCGAAGAAGTAATAAATTGAAGTGCATTTTGGTTTGGTGTCAACAGGAACAATCATACCGTCATACCTGTCAAATAATAATATAATACATTGTCGGTTGCAGCGACCTTAGTTTTGGCACATTAATATATATATATATATATATATATATATATATATATAGAGAGAGAGAGAGAGAGAGAGAGAGAGAGAGAGAGGTAGATAGATACATAATATATATATGTTTTATATATACTTTAATTGTATGTATGGATGGATGGATGGATGGATGGATGGATGGATAGATAGATAGATATAAATATAGATATAGATATACAGATATATATATATATAGATATTATTTTTTTTAATTTGCCAAAACTAAGGTCGCTGTAACCGACAATGTATTATTTGACAGGTATATATATTTCTCATTTGCCAAAACTAAACCCAGCGACATTAGTTTTGGCCAATTAATATATATATATAAAATACAAAAGTCCAAAGATGAGCTGTATAATTTACTCAACCGGTTTCACGCATGTGATTTTCAAAATATATATATTTTAACTTTCCAAAACTAAGGTCGCAGCAACCGACAATGTATTATTTGAAAACATCTAACACTCGTCCTTAAATAATGTATGGACGATCTATTCGGCTTTGTTGATTATGAGAAAAACACATAATTCATAAATGATATTATAAAAATATGCCCATCATGGTCAATTTAGTAACACAAATATGATAAATTCAGATTCAAGCGGAACAATGGTGCACAAAACAGGTTTCATTGACATGTTATTCCATTTATATAATCACAGTACATATTATACAATGCTCTCTTCTTATCGTGCACTGGAACAGAAAGCGTCGTCCTTAGTCTTTTTTAATAAGATCTTTTGATTAATTTTGCAAGTAACTTTGAGTATATTGACAACAGACAGAGGTTTGTGTTTACTGTCATGGCTGACATGTAGGTCATGATACAAGTAGTCGGTTGGTGTTATTCTTCTGTTCTAACTTCGCCTTCGGTGATTTTATCTTTACGACTCGTAGGTCACATTACTGACTCTGTCCTCCATCGAGCAACAGTAAAACCCTTATTTACATGTTGCTTTTGAGAATGCAACTTATATTTATTTGGGCTTCTGTTTAACTTGTATACATATTTTTATTCTACAATGTATCACTTTCATTTGCATATCCTATGACCATTTTCCCATGCACAACATGTCGATTTTTGTGGAGTATATATACACAAAACACGTTAAGAGTTGTAATCTGCTTACACGCGTGATAAAAATAATGAGATGTTATCTACAAGCTCTGAGGCATATATAATTCATAATGTTCAGCCCCATACATATTCAAACTCGAAAATAGAAATGACTAAAAAGTCACTTTTTTTTTCTTTTTTTTTTTAATTCTTTATGGTTTTACGTGTTTGTCAACCTCCTAACTGTGTTCACGACAACCACAAGTCAAGGTGTTCACGACAACCACAAGTCAAAACAGACGAGAACATTTTGAAGTCAATAACAATGTTGTCTCAGGTTTTACATCAATATGAATTGTTCGTTGGATAACCAGAAAAAAAATGTATTGTGAAAAAATAATTAATTGTTTAAGTGTTCGGCTACTCTTGAATAAAAAGCGTTATGGTAGACAGGTTGAGGACATTTCCAAATTTGACGCATCAGTGAAAACAATTATGTCCGATGCAACTCGATATATTGACTTAGCCTATATTCTCGATGTTATTCATCAAGTGAACGATTGACTTGCCTTTGCATGTGTTTATGACACGTGTCACTGGCAGGAAGGATACGCTCACCTTTTAGCAAACAACGGGTATCCTCATTATTTGATAGTGATTCATAAACACATGCTGATAATACAGTCGGAATCGTACAATGGACTCTGTTTTCTGTAGAGATGTTTTATGGTTTCGAAAATATTTTTTAGCTTTTATGTACTGAAACAGTGACCGAAACCGACATGCCGACC